CTGTGACTGAGTGGGCACGCTGGCGTTTTAATGTTTGCACGCCCTCTCCGTGTTTGTGTGCTGGGAGCGCGCCAGAGGATCGGCCTCGCGTCAGCTGCATACCCACGAGGGGGGGGGGAACCTCTCCTCCTCGACGTCTGCGCTTTATTATAGGTTAGGGTTCAGCTGGTCTCCAGCGTGTCATCCTGCCGTGCTCTGGGTGTGTCTCCACATCGCCGTCCTTGAGTTCACAGCAACTGTACTTCAGTAGAGACGAGCTGAACACACAGTTTGAATCAATTTGCCCAAAGAGTTGGGGCATCCCTGGGCACGATACTCTCTCACATGCCTGACCTCCTTTTCTCTGCATGCATGTGTGTTGTTTTTGTTTTTTGAGTTGAAGCAGCAGTGTTTCAGTCAGTGTGGGCCGGCTGGTTACACTCTGTGTGTTTGGATCAGAACAAAAGCTGATGATCTGGCTCCCTGTTTGTGCCCCAGCTGGTCGCCTCCTCAGTCAGGGCCTGGTGAACAATAGGAGCCACACAAACACAAACACACAAAGTAGGCTTGATAGAATCGCGTGCGTTCACAGCAGGCCTCTGGTGCTGGCTCACTGAGGACAATCTGTGCCTGCCGCCATTAGGCTGAGTGCGATGGGTGGAGTGGACAGAAAGATGGAGGGGTTGTTTAAGTAGAGTGTGTGCATGAGGTTTGGGCGGAATCGGCATGTGTGGTTTGCTGGTGTGTGTACATGATTGCAGACCCTCTCTGTCCTTCATAACCCTGTGAGCTTCAAGACTGATCAGTGTGGACAGATCTGGTTGTGTAGCAGCCTCGGCCTCACGGCTGAGGCTGCACGGCCTTCAGGGTGACTGTTTTGTCTGTCAGTCTGGTATTTTTATAGCAGTTTTTTTTTTAATGTCCTTGTGATAACTCAAGACAAGGCAGCTGAATGTGTGAAAGTGTCTGACACCATCTGCAAGGCTGACTGAAGTTTATTCAAATCAGATATTCAGAGAATCATTTACTCAAATCAGCTCAGCATGCAAAACTGCGTCTTAGTTTCCGGGTTTATTTTCATATAGTGAAATTCATGTTTGTTTTTCCGCTGAAACTAACAGTTCCAAACTCACGCCAGACTTTAGCCGGTGCCGGTTTTCAGTGTCTGTGTGAAAATGCACATTAGACATACACGTAAAAATCAGACGTCTTAGATTTGTACAAAAATGAAGTAAATGAAAAACATTGAACTGAGAATGAAAAACAGAAGCTAAAGTGAACCCTGCTGACCTTTTATTCAATATTTTAAACTGAGTTTAAAAGTGTGTGATGCTTGATATTACCCCAAGTCATCGGTCACTGAAATGAACGTATTCGAGCCTTGTGATGATTTGGTGTCAGCGGTTGTTTTATTTTAGACTGAAGTAGTTGTTTTGCTTGGGCAGAGCGCAACTGAATAGACTGTTTGTTTGAAAACTTCCCCAGTTTGGGAAGTATGCTTATCCTCTTGACTGATGACAGTCAGATAAGATGTGTGGTTACACAGCTATACGTTTTGAAGCTGTAATCTAATTTCACCGGTCGCCTCATAAGCAGAAAGAAAAAATCTCCCAAAATATTACCCCGCCAGCAGCAGCCTGAACTGCTGGTATAAGGCAGCATAGATCCAAACTTTCATGTTATTTATGCCGAATTCTGTCTCTAACGTGAATGTCGCAGCAGAAACTGAGACTCCTCAGACAAGGCAGCATTTTCCAAGTCTCCTGTTGTCCAATTTTAATGATTTTGTGTGAGTTTTAGCATCAGTTCGATGGGTTTTCTTCTACTGTGGTCTTCTGCTGCTGTAGCTGAACTGCTCAAAGGTTTGATGTTTTACATTCAGAGATGCTCTTCTGCATGGCTTGGTTATAACGAGTGGTTGTTGGAATTACCGTCTCCTCAGCATAAAACAGCTTGTCCATTCTTGTCTGGTATAAACAAGCTATTTTATCCAGAGAATCATTTTTCTTCTCAAACCATCCTCTATAAACCGATGGTTCTGTGGGAAAATCCCAACAGGCTAGCAGTTTCTGAAATACTTGGACCAACATCATGCTATGTATAAAAAGTAACTTGCATCACCTTTCTTCCACATTCTGATCCTCGCTTTGAACTTCAGCAGGTCGTCTTGAACAGATCTACCTGCTTAGATGTGTTGAGTTGCTGCTATGTGGCTGACTGTTGAGAGATTTGCAATAACAAGGAGTTGAACAAGTGGCCAGTGAGTGTGCAGTCTTTGAAAGCAGTTAAAGGATTTTCATGCAAGTTATTTTTCACCATATGAACATATCTAGCTCTTTTCACCAGAGCACTGATTGAAAAAGCCATGCCAGTTCATAATATGGAAACAGCCAGCAAAGAAAAATGATAGGAGGAAGTGCATACTAATGAATAGATATGGCCGCCACCAACACCTGTGCTCCATGTGTCATTGATGAGTGGCTCAGGTTTCCAGGTTTGGCTCTTGATTGGTTCTTTTGGAGGACGACGCGAGAAAACCACCAACTTTGCCTTTGAATAGATTTCTGTTCAGTGACTTTGAGTGCTGTGAGTCTCGTATGTAATTCATCACATTTGTATGAAACTGAGGTTAGCACCAGGTTAGCTTGAAATGAACAGATGTAAGCAGCTAGCTTGGCTCTGTCCACAGTAACAAGTCCACCTACCACCTGCTCTTTAAAGCTCAGTAATTACCACACTGACTTGTTTGCCTCGCCCTGGTTGTCTGGTTTGACCCCAAACTTCCTGAGCTGGATATCAAACTGCTTGTTTTTCATAGAGCCGCCTCGACACTGTATCAAAACAGAGCCCATGCTACTGCTTTGAATGAACAGCTCACATTAACACAACCCAGATGACATAACTCACGCTTGACGGGCTTTTTTCTTTGTGCTCTTATCATTTACAAGTCAAAATTTCAAAAGTAAAGACCTCATATTAAAATGAGGTTTTGAATGACTTTCATAAGAGTCTTTTGTAGTGTTTTTTAAAATTAGCACATTTGCTATTTGCATTGTAAAGTTGTCTCTAATACCAGCCAAAAGCTCGTCATGGGTCAAAACCACCAGCAGATGGTTTGATCCACGCATAGCCACAGTCTCGGTAATACATGGGCTCTGCTTTGCTACTAGAGTTGCGTTGGCTGAGCAGGAAGCAGCGAGCATTAGAGGAGAGTTCAGAGACGTGTCCTATCTTGGAGGACACGGATCTTTTTTGCCAGTTTTCTTTCTCCTTGTCCTCTTCAAACCCTTCTAAATGAACATTCTTGTTTCCTCCGTACCCCCTCCTCTCCATGTGGTTCCCATTATGGTTATATTTTCCTTCTTAATCATCTGTGTGTGTGCACATGTGTGCATCTCTGCATTTTTCTGCAGAAACTCAATCCCGAGCGCCAGACACAGTCCGTGAGCAGCAACTGTTGAACACCTTCATGTAACGCTGGCTCTGTGTGAATACTGTTACTGAGTGCTGCTGGCAGAATAGTTACTGTTGGGGTAAAGGTTAATGTGTTCACAAACATGTGTTGTGCCACTTGTGCGGCTGTTTTTTTTTTGTTTTTGTTTTTTTCTTCGTCTTCTCCTGATTCGCCCTCTCACCTCTTGCTCTGCACACATTTACATAGCAGACAGGCTCTCTCTCTCTCTTTTGTGAGCCCTCTGGCTATAGGTCAGTGCACAGTATGATTTCATCATATACAATGGCGGGCTTTGTGCTGCTTAGATTGTATTTGTGCGTCTGGGTTTTCGCTCTTATAGTTGACTCATGTGTTTACCTCTTTGTTGCTCTTGAGTGCCTGACTAAGGTTGATTTGATTTTAATGAGGTCTGCTGATCTGTACAAACACACACATGCACTCACAGACTCACTGATTTTTGTAGGTTTTTTTTGGACTACAGATATACAGCAGGGGAAGAAGGATGTGGAAATGACAATTATAACTGTGATGTATTTTAAATGTTCACAGAGCTAAAGCTTTTTTCTTTTTTTTTAAATTGGCCTACAAGTTTTGTCAAGGCTAGCTGCCATCGATTAAATAGCCAATCAAATTATTCAGATAGTTCCCATTGCTTTTGGTACACCTTAAGGGACACCATCACTCTCGTTTCATATTCTTGGAATCTGCTATAGTAGCTTTGCATGATTCACAGTTCAAAATAATCCTTTTATCTTACACTGGGCCTTGTTGCAGTTTTCTTCTGATATCTGATTGGCTGCCCCTCATGAACAGGAGGTTTGAACAGCAGGTGGGTGGAGCTTCTGTGTGCCTGAGATGACCATATTAGGGATATGTTCTCACTGACATGCAGAGTGGGGGGGGGGGAAATATCTCTGAAATACTAAATGCCTACAAAACCAACAACTTATACTTTAGTTGAGTAATGTTTTCATGCTAAAAATGGAAGCATGTTAATATTTTATCATTATTTGGGGATGTAGATGTAAGTATTTAGCTTCAGAGCTGCTGTGCCTTCTCAGATTCCCGCAGAGACTGTTGTCACTGCTGGCTAGCAAACTCTGTGTGCTGTGACCGTCCACTGTGACGCCTGATCCTTTTGAAGTGTAGTGGGGTCTGTCTAGACCAGGACAGATGTGAGTGGGTGGGTGTGGGTTTGTGTGCAGCTGTGTTAAATCCTTCACTAATCTAAGCAGACTGATGTTGTTCATTTGGTACGTCTGATCCTGACCAGCGGATGTGAACGTGTGGGCTGTGTATACCTCGGTGGGTATAAGGGTGCATGCAGCGCCGTCCGGACATATTGAATTATGAGGACAGGGCTGATGTCCTCATAATCCTTGCAAAGAAAAAGCTTTTGGAGAATGTTTGTATAGAAGTTTCAGAAGAAGTCCTTACTATACGGTTACCTGCCTCACGTGTGCGTGCGTGTGTGTTGAATGTTAATGATGAATCTTATGTGGTTATTCATATCCCTCTCATATTCATCAGCCTGACAAGGTCTCCCCAACATTTTAACCCCGCACAGGTATGGACCTGTCAGCCAATCAGGATGAAGAAAGTGACCAAGAGGTATTCCAGATGGAGATCTGCCGTGAAAACAGGAAGTGCGCATTCCGGACTGCCGCTGGGAAATACTGGACCCTGACGGCTAACGGCGGCCTGCAGTGCACGGCCTCCACTAAGTAAGAATCGCACACATCATCACAGCTACACCTGCGTGTGTGTGTGTGTGTGTGTGTGTGTGTGTGTGTGTGTGTGTGTGTGTGTGTGTGTGTGTGTACGCGCGTGCTGACTGTGGAAAACTCAAACTGGTTCGTCATAGCTTCTGGTGTTTAGTCCTCACTCGTAATTTGACCTGTGTGTGGGAGGGATTGATGGCATGTTCATAGCTGTGGCATGCTGTGGGAGTTGAAGTGCATTTGTGTGCAACCCTAACCTGTGGAGTCATTTGCTTTAATGTACAGTAGTTCAGTCCAACCAGAGAGCTAGCTATTAACCCCTGACCTTTGACCCTATGCTCTTGAGTCACTTCTCTGTGAGTCCCCAGACAGATCCAGGAGTGGGAGTCTGGTCATTTTACATGTCATGCTTCAGTATTAAGAGAGTTTTACTTTTAAAGCCTCTTTCTTGAGGAAACTATGTGCGGTGATCAGGAGGAGCTGCAGATGTTTAGCATTAGCGTGTTTGCACTTGTGCAGGAATGATGCAGAGGACAGCAGTAAACTGATCAGCTCGGTCACAAGCATGCGCTATGAGGGAGCTCAGAAGCAGATCATTCTGTTTAAGATAAGACCGAGCAGATCCTCGACACTGAGGGGGGCCTGCAGGAACTTCACCGCATTCCTCAATCACATTCTTGAGATTTCCCTCTGTTTACTTCTCGCAGATTAGACCACCAAAGTGCTTTTTTTTTTTTTTATTTATTTATTTTTTTAAACCAGCTGTGGTCTGCTGAAAACATTTTGAGGATGTTTCCGAGCTTCAGAGAATCAAAATCAACTTTAAAAAAATCCTCTCCCAAGTGAAAGGATTTAGTAAGCTACTTGATTCCACTTAACCAAAGACTTCAAGCTTATCCCTCTACCCGGATCCTACCTATCCAATTACCCAAGAGTCACTTGCACTGCGATAAAGCTGCTGGGTGTCTCAGTCTGTGAAGATGTTTGTTTTTTGTTTTGTTTTTTTAGCTGACAATCCTGCGAGTGCATTACTGCATATCTGACTGCTGTGTAAGGTTTTTTGGGTACTCCTTTAACTCTTACATTTTAATTTTCTCTCCGTCTCTGCAGATCAGCTAATTGCTACTTTGACATTGAGTGGCGTGGGAAGAGGCTGACGTTCCGAGCTGCTAATGGGAAATACGTCGCCGCCAAGAAAAACGGCCAGTTGGCGGCCACCATCGACAGTGCAGGTTAGTGCGACGTGTTGATACAGCCGTGCAAACAGACGCACGGGGGATAACCAATTTACACCTCTGCAGTGACGGGGAGAATTTCAGTGCAGTGGAAGTAATTCAATTGTGGCTCCAGTTGTGCACTTGAGTGGAGGGGTTCTGTTTTGTAAGCTGTTTAATGCTTTTTAACTCTGTTGCAGTCTTTTCGTTTGCGTTTTTTGCCAAGTTTTTACTCGATGTATTGAATTAATGGTGCTGATTGGAAACATCATGGGAAAATTCCTGAGCAAGCAAGAGTGTGTGTGTGACGCTAAAAATAAATAAGGGCTGGCTTTTGTTACCAGTGTTGTGCAATGAGTGAAAAGCTTCCTGCTGACTAAAAACAAAAAACATCTTTATATCTCTCACAGCCATGAATGTGCTGTTTATCAGCCACAACATGGAAAGTGAAACCATTGCCCAACACATTATATTGGCATTTTAGAAAATACAGGTTATGCTGACATTATGAAGGTTTTTTTTTTTTAATGTTACCTTCAAACACTGAATATTTTAAGCTCTTCTAGTACTTAAAAAAACTGAGTTTATACAAGACTGAAAGTCAATATTTGGTAAGATCCCCTTTAGTCTCCAACACAGTCTGAACTCTCTTGCGCAGGTATAGAACAGTTCTCCAGGCTTCTTGAAGGACATTCAAAGCTCCTCTTTGGATGTTGACTGGCTTTTGCTCTGTTCTTTGTTAAGATGATCCCACACTGCTTCAGTGGTGTTGAGGTTTGGGTTCTGGGGAGGCCAATCCATGACTGACAGTGTAACATTGTGTTTTTTCTATCGAGATATGCAGATATGCTTTTATCCCATTGACAGTGTGTTGGGGATCACTGCAAAGCGCATTGACACAGATTTTCAGTCCAGTTTTTGTATAGTTTGGTATACCTATTACAGCCTTTTCTCCCCGTTTGTCAGTAAGAATGACTTCTTGACAATCACCTTTCTACTGAGACCATTTCTCGTGAGGCATCAGTGAACAGTAGATGGGTCAGGTGAAGTTCTGGATGTATCTCTCAGGTCGTGTGTCAGGCCTTTCACCTAAGAGCAAATGTGTTCTTTTTGTTTTTGTTTTTTGCAATAGGCTGCTAGCAACAACGTGCCTAAAGGTGCAATTTAAAATTGTTTGTGTTGGGTGCCTTTTCTTCATTCTTGAATGATTCATAGTTTTAAACAAAAGATCTTCCCTGTGAAAATGGTCAGATATAAGAAGACAATGTTGAAATAACAGCTTCTCCTAACAGTCTTTTGTAGTTGTAGACAGATTTGATGTCAGTGCTAACCAGCTAGCTAACCGGCTAGCTAACAGCTGCAGATTTTCCTCATACACTGATGCCACATATTGTCAAGTAGTTGAGTTGATTTGTGTTACATTGATGTCCTTACATTGACATTACACTGAATTTTTATACATGTAACGCTTGGCCAGATAAGTTTTTATTAATAAGTGTTTATTAACTTTGGCTACAAGCACATGATGAAAGTCTTTGTGCTAACTGGCTGCATGTAACATTAGCATTTAATAGGCAGATCAACACTCTGCAAACATCTTTTTCCTCACATTAGTCGGTGGCACAGAGGTTCTAAAAAGGGAAATGCCAAGCTTTTGCACAGAATTTAGGCTGACAGAAACTACAAGTCAGCAAGCGGATCACAAGATGCTCCGCTTATAGATCAGGCGTTGGTCTCCAGCATTGGCGGATCAAAGCTGACGGGTTTTTGCTTTGTGCTGCAGTTTCTCTTTCAGGAGGCTTTGGCAGCTTGAGCACTCGCTGACACAGATTTCTGACATGAGTTGCATCACATACGTTATTTTTTAATGAGAACAAAGAGTCAGCATTTTTAATCATAAGCAGCATTCCAGCAAAACAAAGAAGCACAATGTGCTGATGTGAAGACCGCACATTGCTCTGACACATCTGTTGTCTCTTTCAGGTGAGTCTGAGGAGTTCATCATGAAGCTGATCAACCGCCCGATCATCGTGCTGCGCGGGGAGCACGGCTTCATCGGTTGCAGGAAGGTGACCGGGACGCTGGACTCCAACCGCTCCTCCTATGACTACTTTACTCTGGAGTTCAGAGATGGAGCGTACAGCCTGCAAGGTCTGTTTTCGACACAACTGGGTCCTGCAGAGGAGAAGTCATATTAATGCAAACTTTCATTTGTAGTAACCTTAAACAGTCAGCAAGCTGATGCTATAACGTCAGTATGTGGAGAGACACGGACACGGGGGGTTTAATCATTTATTCTCCAAGAGATTTAGATTTTCACTATGGACTCACAAGGTGTCTGTGCCAAAAAAGGATTTCAATCTTTTGTTTCTTCCCCATGATTATCATTTTTAATCCTCACTTTTCCTCCTCCCCTGTGCCTCCTCTCCACTCTTCCTGCAGACTCTACAGGTAAATACTGGATGGTGGGGAACGAGCAGTCGGTGGTGAGCAGCAGCGACACGCCCGTCGACTTCCTCTTTGAGTTCTGCGACTACAACAAGCTGGCCATCTGCCACGCCGCTGACGGGAAATACCTGCGCGGCGACCATGCCGGCGTGCTGAAGGCCAACGCCGACGACCTTGAGACCGCCACACTGTGGGAGTACTGAGGGGGACGCGGAGGGGGAAAACCCGCGGCGAACGGGGATGTGGTCGCCTGCCGCCGTGATGCCGGAGGAGGGAAACGAGAGCACGGCGGCGGCTCGACGACACCACCCGTCCACACATATATGGTGTCCTCACCCCCCCTCCCCTCCTCCCTCCCCTCTTGCTCCTCAGTATATCCTGTACTTATAACTTTATATGTTGATGAACTGCACAGAGAGAACAGGAAGGTTAGAAGAAGGAAAGAAGGAGACGCTCCTTTTTCCTTTCCTTTTATCCTTCCTCTCTTTTTTCCAGCTCTGCTCTGCAGTGCCGACCTTTATCTGTTGCCATAGTTACCACGGGGCTGTGCACTTTTCTTCTGCTCCAATCTGGTTTGCTGCTCGACCCATCCCCACCCCCCCATCCTCCGCCACTCACTCCGTCCTCGCCTTACGATTGGGCTGTTTCTCCCCCCCAGAGCAGAGCAGAGCCACGTTTAAAGAGCCCCCTCCTCTCTGAGTGAACCCCCTCGTCTTTCCACTCGTCTCTATTGTTTGTGTGAGCGGCACACGGTGGCAGTATTTATGGTGTCTGAGCTGATCTGGTAGAGTCCTTTTTCTACTTGATCTGATCTCTGAAAACAGACTCAAACCTCATTGCTGTGTCCTGTCAGGTGGCTGTAAGATAGGAAGGAGGAGGTCTGTTTCTCTGATGGTTGGCTCTTGTAGAAACTGGTTTTCTCACCAGGCTGTTTTCTTTTTTCTTAATTTCCTTTTCTCTCTCATGAGCGGGCCTCGTGCGCCTGTGATGACTGTGATACAACTGGAGTGGATCTGCTGATGATAAAGATGTTGAAGATGTTCTGATCGAAGGGTTCAGTCTCGCCCGTTTTTCATCTCAAGTGTAGGAAATGTCCAAACAGTTTCCCGTGTAGTTCCTCTAGCTGTTTCCTCATTGGTTTTGGCAGGAAGTCTGATTTCCTAGACCAAACGATGGGAAGTAGGAAGTTGATCGCTAATACAATTGTCACAAGAATAGTGTAAAGAAACTAAGTGAAGCATTAAAAATGATGGGCCACGTGTGGTATGTGTAATGGAGGAGGAAAAAAGTCTGAAACACAGTTGGATTCATTTCTTTTTCCATGTCCGAGGCACAGACATTATCATGGGTAAGTGTACAGTAGGTAGTCCTAAAAAATAAAAACTGGAGTAAAATGATTTATAAACTCTTTGAAAGCTGCTTTTTCGATTCCCTCGACTTGGCGCACGCCTCAGCCTTTACATGTAGACCAAACCTTTGATACTGGAACCGACAAAAACTGGAACCTGGTGCTACTAACAACGTCCCGTTGAGCATCTCGCACACCGTCCAGGGACGGTTTTCCTACTGCCTGTCCACCTCTACACCCATTCCCCATTCCCTAAATCTGCTGCTTCTTTTCGGTCCGAGCAGCGCCATGACCGCATTTACAGCGACGTCTCCATTTCTGTTTGCGTTGGATTTTTTTTTCTTATGTCTGAACTGTTGGTGAAAGTTCAGTAGAGACTTGTTTTAAAAGGAGGAAAGAAGTAGTTTGGTTTCGCGTTTGATTACAAGTGGTCTGTAATGCAGTCATGTAGCACGCTGCACCCACGGGTCCTCCCCCACCTCTTCGATTCTTGACCCTTCAGCAGTCTGCATTCATACTAACAGAAGCAGAAAGTTTCTATCTGCTGCTTTTTTTTTTCTTTTTCTTTTTTAACGATCCAGCAAAGATGATCTTGGCACGTGCACCCCCGCCCCCACCTGAATTATTGGGCTCTTCCACCCATCATCATCCAGCATTCCTCTGATCTGAAGGTCAGTATGGAAAACCAATCACTGCTTAGCCCACGTCCAACTTTCTGAAGGTTTTTATTTTTTTTAATTTTTTGGCATGAATGGTTGAGAATCTCGAGTGAATAAAAGGAGCAGTTGTCCTCGGAGAAACCAGCTTCTCCAAGGTAACCAAGACATGGGCTTAGACAAACGGATGTGGAAGGGTAAACATGTGGTAATGACTGTGCCTTACTCTTGAGTTTTCGGGCAGTAGACAAATTAGAAAAAAAGAGTCCACATCTTTGCTTTGTATAACTGGAACTTCCTTTTGTATTATTTTGTATAATTTTTCTTTGATATTTGTGGATTAATCTTTCTCTCTCTCTCTCTCGTGCCATTGGTTCACCTAAAATCCAACGACCAATAAAACTGGGATTTGGAACGCTATGTGGCTCAATGGTATTTTTTTCTCATTTCCTGGCAAGTTTCAGACAAAACCCTGGTGTCCTCAGTGACCTCCTCTCCAGAACTGCTTTTTGTTTTGTTTTTTTTTGAACTGCATGTAGTTTTAATTAAAAAAAAGTGCACATCTGCTGCAGTAGTAGTGCTCAAAGCTCTGATTACATTGATCACGCAGCTCACCTAGATACTCGGTCAGTTATAGTTTCTGTGAAAAAGAAGCAGTCAGGTATGATCAAATGGAGGCTTTAAACTTTAGTCTGAGGGGTTTAATGTTAATATTGCATTACTGCTGTGGAATTACAGACATTTTTAATATTTTCCTATATTTTCAAAAAGAAAATCTGCTTATGGAGCAACGTAAGCCTATAAAAATCTAAAACTCCAAAAGGCCTGAAAGACTACAAAAGAGTGCATGATGACAGAATTATTTCCATGGTTAAGAAAAACAATGTGAAAACCTCAAACTAGGAAAATACTATTGGATGCAAACCAGAGGTATCGCATCACAAAAAGGTAGGGGCAAGATTTAAGCAGTCTGATCAGTCCAGGAAAGACATTCATGGACAAATTAATATTAAGAATTAAGATAAACTTCAAGAATGATGGGAAGAGAAAAGCCTGGAAAAGTACTCCTGATCTGAAGCGTGGTGGAGGTGTGGGCACTCAAAAATAACTGGGTCAGTTTTTTCATATTGTGGCTGCTGATTGGATCCGGATCTGAGAGCTACACTTTATGACGGATTCAGTCAGACGCCGCAAATGGATTGTATTAGAAGCAGCCTGCATGTTTCCGAAGCAGTGTCCTATCAAAGTGCTTCTTTAGGAAAACTGGGGATTTAAAAGCGCCAAGATCACAATGCAATAGCATTTGTGTCACTTGCTGAAGGCTACCTTGAAGCTGCAAAGACCTACAAACAGCAGCACAAAATGGTTCCAGTAGAGACATGTCAAAGGGGGATCTTTACAGGTTCCAGACTTTAAAAATATTTACAAATATTTGATTCTTTTCATCTCAATTCAGTTATTTATATAGCATCAAATCACACCAACAGTCAGATGATCAACTATGAACAAGCACTTTGTGACTGTGGGAAGGAAAAACAGGGTGAAATCTCCAGCAGAACTCTGAGGGGAGGCTGTTCTTGCAATCTTAGTTTGCCTTTTACTTTTTTTTTAAAAAGTATTTCAACATGTGAAATGTCAGGAAATAAGACTATGTTCGTGTCCATCTTGCACTTTGATGGTCTCATTTCACATGCTTTATTGTGAAGGTAAACTTGTGAAGGAGAAAACTATCCAAAAGCTTCACATATTTTCTCTTTCTTCACTACTTTCTTCAACCGCAGAGGACGGATCAGGGCAATGAATGTGCCAGACTAGGGGGGCAGGGTTGTTAACACATATAAGGAGAAAGTCTGCATTTTACTCGACATTTAAAGCTTACTTTGAAGCCCAAGACTTTCTCAGGCTAAATTCTTCTTTTGTTCTTGCAAACTGATTTATTTATTGTATCCTCAAGAAGACGACATTTTCCAAGTTCAACCTGGATAATTCTGGAAACCCTAGTCTTTTCTTCCCCTGCTCGTTTCTCATGTAATCATAGCTTCATTTTTAGACTCTTGCCAGTTTCTGACCACAGCAGCTCCATTTGTTGCACACACACAGACACACACACTTTTTTTTTTTTCTGTCTCCTGAATGGAGCCGTTGTGTTGAAACATTTATTCTAGCACAGAGAAAGGGCAACTGCTCACTCACACACACAAATGCACATTTCGGGTGGTAATGTAATGTTGGGGCCTCCAGAGAAGCCCTCTAATCCATCCACCCCCCACACACACACACACACACACCCCTACACCCCTGTCAGGTTTGCAGATCCCAGGGGAACACCCAACATAGCAAGACAAACATACACCACCCTATCTAATCTGCCCCCCAACCTCCTCTCCTCCTCCTCCAGCTGCTGACTGATTCTGCTGAAAAAATGAGTCACTCAGAATATGACCCAGATCCCAGGAATGGGTGCAGCGGTTTGTGGGTGAAGTGTGAGGCTGCAGGCGGAGCTGGGTTGGCTCGCTCTCTCTGCCAGGAGGGGGAGAGAGAGGGAGGAGAGGTTGTGTGCGAAATGGCCGCTGTCTCCACCCACATCTTGTGCACCCCAGCAGTGTTACCATGGAAACACCAGCTGCTAGAAGCTTGGATAATGTGTGTGTGTGGCACTGTCAGGGCGTGAAGTGTCAAAAACCTTCATTGCATTACTGATGCTCAGGCCTGGTTAGGTTTAATTTGAGGGGGTGGGACTGCAGTGAAGGGTGAGGGGTGAGGAGCCTTTAGGGAACAGCACCAGGAGGAGGAGGTCCCCCTTTGATCAGAGAACAGCTCATTGAGCCACGCTCTACTGTGCGGACTCCTCCTCCAGCATCCATCCTGTGGGAACGTACACTCTCCTCCACCTTCGCTATCAGCTCTCTCCGCTCTAATCAAATCTACCTCCCACCATCATCATGTTTTTCCACTCTCAGGCAGTGGGTCAGTGGGTCAGCGTGTAATCTCTTTAGGGGATGTGAGTGAGCAACATGGGTCTGTGCAGGATGAATAGCAGGTTGACTCATTTTTACAAATCAGCCATCAAAGGCACGAATGACGCTTTCTGCATAGTTTCACATCAGCAGTGGGTTGGTGGTAAAGGTAGCTGTACTGAGGGGATACAGCTGCATAAGCACATGCTCATTAAAAACATACAGAGCCATTAAAGAGACACACAGACGATAACACACACAAACAAAGCCAGCGGAGGTGGAGCAGCAAAAACCATCAGGGGACCAAATGCTGCCAGACACCAGCGCTCCCTGAGGAGGAGAGCTCCAATATGCATGCACACACACACACGCCTGCAGTTCTATTTTTGTGAGGACCTCTGTTTATATGATGCATTTCCTTATCCTGATTCGGAGCGAGAAGACATCCCAGATTGCTCTCACTCTGCTCCGCAGAGGTTGTGCTGGTCACCATGTAACATGCAAACAATATGTATACAGCAGTGTGAGCACAGGAACGTGGATGCAAAATAACAGGAAGCAGCAGGAAGCCGAGGCACTATTTGTCCATCACAGGTGTCCCAGAAGATATGTAGGTCACGTCTGTGGTTTGTGTTTTCAGGCCTGCCAGAATGCGACGCATTTAAAATCCGTTTCATCGTTCAATCCCACTCAGAGCTTCGGCTCCACAACCACTATTCGGGGAAATGACTCGGTGTTTGTCTGTTAGAGGCTTGAATAGCCCATGGTGATACTGTTATTGTTCACATTTATGCATCGCTGCAGATAAGGACAGTCTGTGCATATTTACATGACCTTTTCTGCACACAATGACCATTCGAGGTACTCCACCTATCACACACAAGACTTCAAACTAAAAGTACAGTCTGTGTTGGTGACATAAATGAAATCCTCTAATCATAGCTACTTATGGGATTTGCGTCTCCTAACTGAAATTAACTACCGTATATTGGAATGGCTGGTTTTGACATATTAGTAAAGATATGCAGCAAAATATAGTAACACAGCTGGAGATAATAAAGGTATTGCTACCTTAGGACAAATAGTACGGTGAAAACGCTGATGAATGTGAGGTTTAAATAGATGACGGCGATGCTGTTATTGTACTGACTGAACTCCTGATTTGCCCTTTTATGCATCAGTGCAGTTAAGGACAGGCTCATGTATATTTATATGACCTTTTCTGCACACAATGAGCATTCAAGGTACTCCACCTATGACATACAATAACATAAGGGACGTCTGTGTTGCTTCTGTGACTGAAGTCCTCTATTATTGCTACTTTTGTCTGCGCCCTTATTCACACAGCTCCACATGTTGGATGTAGCAGAGCGTTTGCGCTAGATGCAAACACCCACACTCAAAGGGATTTGTGTCTCCTACCTGGTGTGAAGCAGGTAGCAAATGTGTAAAGCAGGTAGCAAATGTGTAAAGCACTACTCTGTGGATGAAACCCTCTGTCAGCTGCTGCTATGTAATTAGCACTAGAAGTATACAGTGATCTAAACTGACTGGGCCAAATGAAGCGGCCCACAGTGGACGAACTGTTTATTTTTCTTGTCGGCTCTGGACTGGATGCATTAGCATGCTGTTATCTAAGCAGGAAGCATGGCTGAGGCTGACTTGGTGGTTCAAGCCAACCTTACTGAAGTGGTGGCACAGGAAGTACAGGAGGTCCTCTACCAATCGGAAGCTTTGATCCCTGTCTCTGCATGGCGACACTGAATCCCGAATTACCCTCAATGCATCCATCAGAGTCTGAGTGTGTGTGGATGTTAGATAAAGTGCTTAGAGGTACAGAATAAAAGCACTGTGCGGGTCGCTCGTAGCAGAAGGTCCTCAGTAAACTCTACAAGTCCCAGTCCGTTTACTGCACGGGCAGCACATTAACACACACACACACCCTTCTCTTCAGATGTACTTTTCAGTATGTTTGCTATACTTGTGTACTTACACTTTCCTCTAATACTGTAAAAAGCCATGCCTCCATCCATGACAGTGTTTCAATCATAATACCAGGGTAACTATTGAGAGCTTGAATTGTGTAAGTGACAGCATCGACTGCGTTGCCAGAAATCTCCTTTATTCAATCTAATCATGTCAGCTAAGCCCGCCCTTTGTTGTTTGAATTAAATGAGTCATTAGGAGATAATTCCCTTTAATGCTATCCAACTGTAATCCATGACCCACACGCTCTTCTGGCAAGCCCTGGGGTGTCTTTGGGGACTAGAAAAGAATAGAGTAGAATAGGATTTCTAATTAAAAGAAAAGATTGTTTCTCAGGGATTCAAACTCATGATGCCGGCAGCAGTGACAGTCGGGATGAATTCTTACAGGCTCTGAGGTCAGGGCTAACAGAGGGTGGCCACAGCAGTCATGGGGTTAGCTGGAAACAATGAATCTTTGAAGGTACAGTCCAGTGAG